TAATCGACCGATTCTAGTATTAATTAATATATGAAACAAAACTAGTTGATCCTTTAAGTAATGTTCAAAATATTAATATGAAATATGAATAGGAATTAATTAATACTCAAGAAAGAATATTAAAGAAGATGAATCCTACTATAGTTAATATCAAGATGTTAACTAATTGTCATCTTAGTAACACTCCCCGATATTAACGTAGAGGAAGAAATACTATTACTATAACTAATGTCAAGATGTTAACTAATTGTCATCTTAGTAACACTCCCCAACATTGATATAGAAATAGTATTTAAAGAAAGAATTAATATTCAAGGAAGAAGATTAAAGATAATAACTCACAACTTACAAATTCATTAAGCTTCAAAGGGGCAAAACCAAGATGGAAGAGTTTAACTCCTCATTTGGAGACTAAACATGCTATAAAAATATAAAAGAAATACTATTCTAAACTGAGCTTAAGGATGTTTTTACTTGGACTGTAATTTGCCCCAGACCAGACCAGACCAGACCAGTCCAGACCAGACCAGACCAGTTCAGACCAGACCAGACCAGATTTGGATAGTTATAAAAATACAAAGAAACCAGACCTTACCAGACCAGACCAGACCAGTTCAGACCAGACCAGATCAGACCAGACCAGACCAGACCAGCAAATTACAGTCCAAGTAAAAACATCCTAAGAGTATGGAAGAAGGAATGATTAAAAGTGAAGGAAAATGGGGCTATTTATAGGTGTTTTTCAACACCTTTGGCCGGGTACCCGACCGGGTAAAGTGCCCACCCGACCGGGTGCATGTCAAAATCAAATATCTTCCACGTTCTGGCGATCTTCGGCACGTTCTGGTGTTCCGGGTCAAGTCGGACCCGACCGGGTGAAATACCTCACCCGACCGGGTGATGTAATTTCCTGAGCAGTTTCACATTTAAATTTCTCACCCGACCGGGTGCAATACCTCACCCGACCGGGTGATTGTCCTGGGCAGCCAAGAATTATTTTTCTTCACATTCAAAGTCTTCCTTTCCAACACCATAAATCCTAACTCTACTTTAATTTATAACTTACAAATGAGAACTAAAATACAATTACAACTAAAATCACACAAATGTTTATAAACTAAATAAAACGATAAACAATACACACAAATCAAACATAAAAACATACACTTATGCACTACTAATTAGTGCATATCATCTAACCTCCTCAAATGTTTTCCTTTTCTTTTATAGATTGTACGGATTATATGGATTATGTTCCATCTCCTGTAAAACTAATACTACGTATAATGGATTTATTGATGCAGTATTTGAATGTTTTGAATGGATTTATAATGCATAGTTATGGTTTCTGTTAAATGTCCCACACCGGAAAATTGAGAAGCACTAGAGTGCTATATTAAGCTTCGGGCTACTCCTCCTAACAGGTTGACCTTTTAGGATGGAACCCCATGTCTTAACATGGTATCAGAGCAAAATCGATCCATGGTGTGGGGCCCCTTATGAAAAATGACGACACGATAAAAAAAAATTGATGAACCGATGAAAAAATGAATGACGACACGATCCAGACGAAGTGTCTGGTCGTGAGGAGGGGTGTTAAATGTCCCACACCGGAAAATTGAGAAGCACTAGAGTGCTATATTAAGCTTCGGGCTACTCCTCCTAACAGGTTGACCTTTTAGGATGGAACCCCATGTCTTAACAGTTTCCTAACCTTCTTTACAATTAATTATTTGCTTATTAATGAGTGTCTATTTTCTGCCACCTCCGCTGATCCTCATTTTTGAAAAACAGTAATCTCATTTATAGAATATGTTTAGAGGCGTGAATTGATTTTCGAATTCAATCTATAGTTAATTAGTTGTGATTGCCTAATTACTTCAACCGTAAACATTGTGAAAATGAATACTTATTTTTGTTTAATAGTGGCATACAATTGGCGTTTTGTGCGGTCCACCCTTAATTGTCATCATTTTATTGATGGATTGATCATTAAGATTAAGGAGAATCATGATTGACCAATTGTACTTCTTAAGTACATTTTGTGAATAATGAAGTTCACCTCTCGATTGTTTAGAAGCTAGAATATATTCTTGCTCGCATGCCCATCCTCATTAATTGTGCATGATATCAATCTGTTTTCATAATATGATTAGACTCGAGTGTGTATTATATTTGATAATATGAGATTTCTCTCGAGTTATTCACAATTCAATTTTTATTAAAACCATATATTCTAAAAAATGTACATCAATATATATTATCTATATTACTCTATGTCATTTAATCTCACAACCTTACATTTTAATAATAAAAAAGAAAACCTTAATTAGTGATTGTTGCATTTATATATAACATAGCAATAATATAAAAGCTCATTTGCAGACACTTAGTGGTGATTGCTGCGACCTAAGGTTATTTTGGTCATGGTTATATCAATAAGGAGAACACATGTACAAATCTACAGGTGCATGTGGATTCAATTTGGTGGTATATATGTATCCACATTTTCAAGTTTTTTATATAAATAGAGTATTGGAAACAGTTACATATCTTAAACCTTATATAAAATTTCAAAAGAAGTTTGATAGACTACACAGTTTTCAGATTGCTTAGAGCAGTTGTGGAATCAGAAATGGCAGGTTAGAGAGGCCGGGAGTCTAGGACTTGAGAAATTTATAATGGGGGATCAAAGTTTAAAGTTTCACTATACTTTTTATTTGCTTATAAATATTTATACATATCTATATACTAAATTTATACTACTCAGCTAAGTTCTATTAGTTTTTTTTAATGTTTACCTTCATTAGATTTATTTAAGAATTGCTATGCTTATCCTCCCGAATATGATCATTTATAAAAAAACAAAAAAAATGAGTCATTTATTTTAGACGCGACCATGCCCCACGAACGCATATATGTAAGGTTCCCTTTCACATTTATTCGTAGACATTTCCTCTAAATGATTTGGCTATTCGATGATAGTGAACGATAGTCGAGGACAATCATTGGAGACTGTGAGTGATTTCCTACGGTGACCAATTTGTATGCAAGAAATATTGTACGGAGCATGTTCTAACCCGAGGGTGATAAGCCCGTCCCGCTTGAAGTTAGTGGTATGCGACAATATTAGAAATAAGGAAAAATGCAAAAAATGTCGCTTTCAAGGAAATCTTGAATAATTTGTAAATTGTGCTCATTAAACTTTAATAAAATTATTATATTCTATACATGTGGTTAAAAGTTTGCATTTATAATATCTGCATTTAACATCCTGTGCAACGCACGGGTGAAATACTAGTAAACAATAAAAGCGTAGCAGTCGCTCAACTTTCTCATATGTCATCTGTCATCTTGGACTTAATTATTATTTTTATTTTTGTCATCGACTTATACATTTACAAATTATTCTTTTTTTGCAGTAAATCCAGTAATGAGATCTGCTAGCTACTTGAATATGTGCATGCTTTTATTTCGTTTTATGTTATTTTGTTGTGAAGTACTTGTATATAATTTTATTGGCGAAGCACAATAAATTACGAAAGGATTACGATGGATGTGTATAATTTGTTTTTCCACTAATAACCGTTTGCTACTTGAATATATATGTGTATGCTTTTATTTCGTTTTACTATATATGTTATTTTGTTTTGTTGTGAAGTAATTGTATATAATTTTATTGTTCAAATTAATGCCCATTTTTTGTCCGATTTTTTGTAATATACTTCGTATATCTTATTATACACGTAGACGTATTTACACACGTATTTTAAAAGTCATGTTTTTAAACTAATTTTTGACCGCATAAAATCTCGTTTAGGATACGTATAAAATCTCATTTAACAAACTAGGCCATCAATAGAACATGCAAAATATGACATAACCTCATCTTTTCTTACCTTGTGTTTTCTCGTTAAAACCCTTGCTTACGACGAAAATCAACCGGCCCAAACTCTATTAAAACGAGACCCACCCTGGCGAAGCACAAGTCAATCTTATCTAGGCCCAATAAATTACGAATGGATGCGTATAATTTGTTTTCCCCCCTCCACTAGGCCTGGGACCGGTTCGGTTCCTAGGCAAAATATGTGGAACCGTTTGAAAATATGAAATTTTACTAACGGTTCGGTTCTTATAAATTATTTTATAGAACCGATAAGGAACCGAACCGCTCTTAACGGTTCGGTTCTTGTCATTTAACGGTTCCTAGTCTTTGAAAAAATTCTTACAAATTACGACTAAATTTTTGTCAAAAAGACATTCAACGTTTGAAATTACAAAACAAATATGTTGAACCAGTTAAAGAGAATAATAATTTTAAATAGTTTGGACCTTCCGAGTTCCGACCCGCTCGAGTTTGGACCTAATGAGAGGCCTAAGAAGCCTAAGAGAACCGGTTGAAGTGAATAATAGTTTTAAATTGTTGAATAACTAAACTAAAATAATGAATGGAATATAAAAATAAATAAGTAAATATACATAAAATATATATACTCGTAACAAATATATATAATTTTAATTATTATATATAACGGTTCCTTAATGGTTCCTAGTACATATTTTTTTCAGGAACCGAGAACCGAACCGTTAATAAAAAATAGGAACCGAACCGTTAACAAATAACTAATAAATGTTGGAACCGAACCGAACCGGGTCATAACGGTTCGGTCCGGTTCGGTTCTCCGGTTCTTGGTTCCAAAGTCCCAGCCCTACCCTCCACTAATAAGTAATAACCGTTTCTAGAACCGCCTTCTGCTTTTAACCAGGCTCTTCCAATTTTAACCCACGTAATCCATTTTGACAGAGTCTATCTCGACACATGTCTCCCACGTGGCAATCCCTCGAAATTCTGACCGCTGTTAATTTTTCGTCGTAATCGTAAATAAATGGATATATATAAACGAAGAAAAAGCATCATCGAGCGAGCGCGACCGGAAGTAATAACCGCACATTACGGTTATTTTTTTTTTACTCCGTAGCATTATTTAGGACCGAAAGAAAAGTATGTAATGGCACCAAAAAAGGGAGGGAAAAGGATGAGCGCGGTGGTGACATCTCGAAAAGTGGTGGAAGAAACCGTCCAAGTGGTCATCACTCCGGCCACCACCTGCGGCGGAGAAGCCGTGACCGAGAGCCAACAGCAGCCCAGCGATGAATCCAAAGAGAAGGTGCCCGAGAACCAACCACTGCCTAGTGATGAAGTACCCAAAGAAAATGAACAAGTGGAGGCAGTGTCAACTCCGACGGCGGCGGAAGAAGACCCGCCCGCAACCAAGAGAACGATCTCCGTTGAAGAAAAGAAAGAAGACCCGCCCGCAACCGAGAGAGCGATATCCGTTGAAGACGAGAATGAAGACCCACCCGCAACGAAGAGAACTGTCTCCGTTGAAGACAAGAACGAAGACCCGCCGCCCGAGAATCCTCCTCAAAGGAGGAAGAGGAAGCGGGCGGCGGTGGGAGCGGGAGAAGGGTACAAGAGGTACGTGTACAAGGTGTTGAAGCAAGTGCACCCGGAGTTGGGGATATCTTCCAAAGCTATGACGGTGGTGAACAATTTGATAGGGGACATGTTTGAGAGGATAGCGGCGGAGGCGGCGGTTCTGACGAAGTACGTCTCCAGGAGGACGCTGTCGACGAGGGAGATTCAGGACGCCGTGAAGTTGGTGTTGCCGGGAGAGCTTGGGAAGCATGCCATTTCGGAGGGAATGAAGGCGGTCACTAATTATATTGGCACTCTAGATGGAGACGACCACTCTATAAGTTGTCTTCGACCAAAACTCAATAATTAAAATTAGTACGTACGTAGTACTTAATTACGTAGTTAATAATGCAAGTACTTCAATTCCATGCAAGTACGTAGTACGAAGTATATTATGCATGTCTAGAAAACTTTCTAAATATATTCGCACGGGACAATTTTTTAATTGCATTATAATACGAAATTTCTAAATACCGAAATTTCGGTATACCAGACTTACTATATCGAAAAATACAGAATTTATCGAAATGTTTGGTATACCGACACTTTTGGTACGGTATGATACCATACCGAATTACTTCGGTATGGTATCGGTACATATTTTGGAAACAAATTGTATACCGGTATACCGTCATACCGTAATTCCAAGTCAATAATTTCTTTAAAATTCTAAAAATAACTAGAAACACAACACTAATTCAAGAAAAAATGACTCTATATCCATGTTTCTTGAATTATTTATACTTTTTATTGGAGATCGGTGTTATTTTAGTTATATTTATGTTTAAATTATTTTAGCAGAATGTGTTGTTATCTTCATACATCATGTGTTGAAATATCTATACATATCTATAATATTTTTTGTCAAAAGTTGAATAGAACACAAATAGGTTATCCCCTTGGTATTTTATAATTAATTTCATTAATGATTTTAGTATATCACTATTAACACTGATTTTTTTATTTCATTTGACATATAGTAATTTGTTATATTAAATCATGGTAATTTACCGAAAGTGTACAGTATGGTAAAGGTATGCGATAAAATATTCGGTATACCGTACCGAACCATCCCTAAAACAAACACTCGTTTTGTACAACTTCCGGGTATACAATGTTCATAAAAAAAGTAATTGAAAAGAGTGAAAAAATGATTTGTAACGGCGCGCACCATGAAGTTATAATTTGGAACAACCATAACATGCTTATATTTAAATTAGTGCAAAACAAATAACATAACATCGTGTTTATTATGAACACACTTAGGTAAAACGAAATTAATAACTACGAAATAGGGAAATACACATTGTGTTTGTACTCACATGACACTTAGGTAGGAAATAAGAAATAGGAAATGCAAATGTTGTAGACAATGTAGAGTACACCCTAGCGGATATGATATTTAAGATAATAAGCAATTAAGTAATAAACACATACTACCATTTGGACTATTTTCAGACCAGACAGACCAACAAATTTTAGTCAGACCAAAAAATTTTACTCCAAAAGAAAACATCCTTAAGGTGTATCATCATTTGAGCCAAAGTATCATTTACAATAATATCAATATGCTCCTAATTTGTCCCTTGAATCTTCTCATTCCCCGTGTCAGAATAGGACACTGAGTGCGATAATTTTACTCCGTAACAAAATAGATAGTCATCAAAAAATCGTAAAAAAACCATAATTTTCCATAATCGTAAAAATCGTACGTAGTAACAGATAGGACATCGAGTGCTATAATTTTACTACGTGCTATAATGCTCCGAATTTTACTCCGTAAAAAAAATCGTATAGTACATCAAAAAATAATGTAAAGCAAAAAATTAAATAAAAAGGGAAATAATGATCGCGGGGTTGAAACTGCCCTTTTTAAAGTAACTACGACGTACCTTGTTTTGAAAATTAGGATGAAAATCAACAATTTTTTCTCAATCCAGGATCTACTTTCCAAGATTCAAAATTGTTCGTGTAGATTATAAGTCAAATTAGTTTCACTTTCCGCCATTACTTGATGCAATTCTTCATTTACTAATAATGAATCATTTGAATTAACATTTGAATTACTCGATACTCCAAATTTCTTTGAATCTGGGTACACTACCGTCTACCGAAATATATTTTTTATCATATATCGTAAAATATTGAGAAAACATTCATAAATATATAAATGTATTCATCTCATCTTAACGTTTAAAGAGCTTTTAATAATTAATCTAAAAATGAATTATGCAAAGGTCAAAGAGTAAACCAAAGGAAACTAGGCGAGCGAGTCACAAGAGTGTATTCGAGATGGTCTGAAACGGGAGAGGCACTAACGATGGATGCTATGGTCCCTTAATATAAGGGGTGTTTGGATCTGATTCTCAAAACTGATTTTGCTCCTTCAGGGAGCAGAAGTAGAAACTGGAATGTTTGAGTGAAATTCTAGAAGTACTTTTGGTGCTCTAATTTACTCTCAGAATCAGTTTTTGTAGAAGTTGAGGGTACCAGCTTTTGAAAACTGATTCTGCTTCTACTTTAAAAAAGAAGCAGAAGCAGTTCCAAACACCCCTTAAGGGCCTGTTTGGATTGAGTGTTGAGGAGTGTTAGTAATGGAAGTGTTAGTAAGTGTTGATGCTAACACTTGTTTGGGAGAAAAATCCAGAGATGTTAAGAAGTGTTAGTAATGGTTAGGAAGTGTTAATAATAACCTTCCCAACACCTCAATTGTCCATTTTTTAACACCCCGATTTGGAGTGTTTTGAGGTGTTGGACAATTATTACCCTTCTCATTTACCCGAAAAACATAAAATGCTTCGACATTTCACTTCGAATGTCTTTCCCACGGGTCTGTTAGTTTGTTTTTTCATTTCTTCTCTTTAATCGTTTCTTTTGCCTCAGGGTAAAATTATTAACACTTCCATTATTAACACTTCATTCATTTGACTCTCCCAAACAAGGTAAAATTATGTCCAACACTTATATTTCCCCTCTGAGCCCTTACTAACATTTCCAAACACTCCATCCAAACAGGCCCTAAAACTACTAGGTAGTAAGTTTGAAAAATAGTACTCCCTCAGTCCCAAATTGTATGATACATTTACTATTCACTTGGTCAACACAAATCACTCTTAATCTTTTATTTTATATATCAAAAGTTTATGAAATTTGAATTATTTTTTGCAGGTTTTGTAGCGGTTTTAATGTAGTTTCTGAATATGTAAATTTTATTTTCTAGAACTAATTTGAGTGTTGACAGGGATCAATTTGCTTTATCGTCAGTCAAACATCGTAAACCGTAATGTATCTTACAAATTGGGACGGAGGGAGTAAAATTGTTGAAGAGGGAATCAGACCCACTACCTTAACACAAACAAGGGTCTTACTATCATGCATGCAACCGTTGGACAGCTCCGGTTTTCTTTATTCATCTGTAGCTTGTTATGTATATATAAAATTATGAATCAATTTTATATCAAATATATGTAATATATGTAGGTATTTTTGGAAGTCCACGGGTCCTGGGACTAGGGGTGGGCAAAAATCCCGGTCCCGGTGTCCCAAACCGAAAAATCCCGATACCGTTCCGAAAATATCTCGATCCATTTAGGACGCAATTTTTTCATCCCGAACCGGTCCCGCACCGATATTAAATGGGACGGGACCGGGATAACTATAAAATATCATGTCCCGTCCCGGTGTCCCGTTTGAAATTAATATGTTATTTTAAATTTCTAATGCTGTGTAATAGTCAAATCCAAGCAGGGGCGGATCTACTAACAACTAATGGGGGGCAGCTGCCCCCAATAAAGGCACACTAAATTCATTATTTTCTTTACTAATATTAGCAGTTCAAGCATTTTGCCCCCAACAAAATAAATGGATTGCCCCCAATACTCCGAGAGGCATGTTAGCCGCACACCTTTAAGGTTTCAATAATGGATATAAAAGTATAAACCTCTTCACTTTATGTTTACGGAGTATTTTTTACCATTTAAATTAATAAATTTGATATTCGAGTGTTGGCCTAGCTAAGTGATACGGAGTACTTGTTTAGTTGTTCAATGACTTCAATCCTCAGATCCTCCGTATGTGGTCACTATATTGTTTACTTGTTTAAGATCATACATTATCATATCTTTAACTTTTGTATACATATGAATATTATAATGTTATTAATGTATTATAGGAGTATATATTTACATCAATTTGATATAAATTTTTTAAGAGGATCGACTAGATTTAATGTTATTGACTTAACTTGGTGTAATGTTTACACTATTAGAAAATAGAAAATGTGATGTACTCCCTCCAACCCACTATAATTGTTCCATTTTTCTTTTTTCATTCATCCCACTAAATTTGTCTCATATCATATTTAGTAAGATTTGTGTGGTTCTAATTGATTCGTACCTAATTTTCATTTTATCAATTCATTATCAACCACATAATTCCATTTTTCTTAAAAATCGCATCACTCTCTTTTGTCACAGTATTAGAGGGATGGATGTGGTAGTAAGTTAAAAATCGTATAATATATCACTACTAGAATTTCAGCTATTTGCTGCGGTTGTTTTTGCTTATTTGCTGCGGTTTTGAACCGCAGCAAATGAAGGAGCAGCAAAAAGTAGAGTGAGGTATTTGCTGCGGTCATGAACCGCAGCAATTAGTTCTTTCAGAATTGCAAGCATGACTTATTGCTCCGGTTAAAACCACAAATTGCTACAGTTAAAACCGCAGCAAATAGCATTTGAACAGTAACATATTTTTATTTTTTATAAATGAGAATTTGAGATGGAATTTTTGTTTCCTGATGGCTGATACTACCACATCTGATATTTACAACAAATTGAATGTTGTTTAGGCAATAAGTAACTCTTTATTTTCAAATCTTGCTATCACATCAATACAAACTCAAACCGTAATTTACAAAGAATTCAGTTACATCACTAAGGTTAGTACAAAACGAATGAAATACACAATGCCAACTTGAATTAAATCTACCATCTAAAGTATATAATCTTCAATAAATTATCAATAATATATATGTATGGCCAATGGATGACGAACTTCTATCATTTAATCACTCGATAAAGCTCTTCTTTGGGTGCTCCCGTAAACCTAAAATATTAAACAAAAACTATAAGCTATATTAGAACGTGAAAACGAGTTAGTACATAATACATAAAAAAAATAGACTTGAAAACTAACCTGAGTGTTGGTGCTCTCTTTTGTTGCAGTGAACAAAATCATACTATCTGGACAAAGCATTCAATTTTTTTAGACTTAAGAATTGCAGAGAGAACATATAGCTTAAAAAATACAACAAACTAGAAATAGATTTTTTTTAGAATGATGTTTTTTTATACAACAAACTAATTTTGCAAAATCACAACTCCATACAAACATAAACATCAATATTAATTTATGAATTCATAGAAATATAAACTT